TGGGACCATGACCTGAGCCGAAGGCAGACGCCCAACAACTGAGTCACCCAGGCGCCCCTTGTGGTTGTTTTATAGCTCTTCTCTGATCCTTTCTTCTCTTGCTCTTTTCTCTCAGTTTGCTGGGTTTGTTTAGTGATATACTTCGATTCTTACTCTTTATTTTTTGCATATATATTATTGGTTTTCGATTTGTGGTTACCATTAGATTTGTATATTACATTTTCTGCATATACCAGTCTATATTAAGTTGATGGTCACTTAAGTTTGAGCCCATTCTTTACTCCTCTCCCCACCACATGTTTGGGATATGATGTAATTCTTCACATCCTTTTATTTTGTGAGTCCCTTGACTGATTTTTGTGGATACACTTATTTTTATTGCTTTTGTCCTTCCTATTTTCTTACTCTTACTTATGGTCTTTCCTTTATAATCATACAGTCTCCTTTAACATTTCCTGTAAAGCTGGTTTAGTGGTCATGAACTTCTTTAGTTTTTGTTTGTCTGGGAATCTCTTTCTCTCTCCTTCTCTTCTGAATTATAGCCATGCTGGAGAGAGTATTCTTGGCTGCAGATTTTTTTTTTCCTTTCAGCACTTTGAATATATCATGCTACTCCTTTCTGGCCTTCAAAGTTTCTGCTGAAAAATTTGCTGATAGCCTTATGGGGTTTCATTCATATATAACTGTCTTCTTTTCTCTTGCTTTTAAAATTCTCTCTTTATCACTACTTGTTGCCATTTTAATTATTATGTGTCTTGGTGTGGACCTCCTTGGGTTGATTTTGTCGGGGAATCTCTGTGCCTCCTTGGATCTGGATATTTGTTTTCTTCCCTGGATTAGGGAACTTTTCAGCTATTATTTCTTCAAATAAATTTTCTGCCCCCTTTTCTCTCTCTCCTCTTCTTCTGGGATCCCTATAATGAGAATGTTACTATGCTTGATGGAGTTGCTGAGTTCCCTAAATCTATTCTCATTCCGCATAAATTTTTTTTCTCTCACCTGCTCAACTTGATTACTTTCCATTACTCTGTCCTCCAGGTTGCTAATTCATTCCTCTGCTTCCTCTAGCCTGCTATTTATTCCATCTAGTATATTTTTAATTTCATTTATTGTGTTCTTCATCTTTGATTGGTTCTTTTATATCTCTTTGTTATAAGGTCTCCCTGATGTCCTCCACTCTTTTCTCAAGTTCAGTGAGTATCTTTATGATCATTACTTTAAATCCTCTATCTGACATATTACTTATATCCACTTTGCTTAGGTCTCTTGCTGTGGTTATGTCCTGTTCTTTGATTTGGGACATATTCCTGTCTCCTCATTTTGTCTCTCTCTGTCTGTTTCTGTGTTAGGAAAGTCAGCTCTGTCTCCTGCTCTTAAAAGTAATGACCTTATGAAGAAGAGGGCTGGTAGTGCCCTGCAGTGCAGTGTCTCTTGTTCACCAGAAACTGACACTTCAGGGGTGTCTCCCCTGTTTGTTACATGTGCCCTGCTGCTGTGTTTTATCAACTCTCCCTTCAGTGCAGTCATCTGCAGTGGCTCTGTTTGCCTACGGGCAGTGGCTTGTCCCTGTGGTGTTAGTGGACAAGTCTGGGGCCACCTCGGGCTTAAGTTGAGTCAAACCAGGCATTTGCCAGAGATGAAGTAGCACCAAACTGCAGGGCACTTTCCCTGTGTTGCTCCCTGAGAAATTTTTGTTGGTGGGTGGGGCCTGCAATCAGAACAACTGTCTGCCCCACCCGCTACTAGGGCTGCCCTCTGACTGGTATGTGTGGCTCTCTTCCCCTTGCTGTGGGGCAGAATCCCTTTGGGATGGTGCTGGCCATTTGCTTGCACATTGCCAGGCGTGCGGCCCCTGTTTGAATAGGCCAAGAGCATACTGGAGTGGATGTGTCACCACCAGTGGGATGAGTTGACTGGGGTGGGGCTCACAGTTTTAGCAAGATGTGCATTAGTCTTCCATGGGGCTGCCGCCACCAGGGGGACTGAGGTCCCACAAAGTGGGCCAGGAGATGCAGTGTTGGCAAGGTTTGTGCCCATCTTCTAGGGGAGGAGACAAACAGCACCAGGACTGAGGCAAGCTTGACTGGAAAGGGCACATCCACTGAAGCTGGGGGGGTTGCGGCGCGGAACCCTGTGTAAGCAAGTTAGGTAGTGAATGCCTGCTCAGTGCTGGTTCCTGCAAGTGGCTGTGTGTTTATGCTGAAGGGCCAGGGGAGGGGAATGGCACCTGAGAGCTCCTCAGTTCCTGGAGAAGTCCCTCAGGGATCCTGCCAGTTCCTTTGTTCCTGAAGGAGTTCCCCAGTGATTTCTGTCCCTCCAGGACATGCTCTGAGATCAGTAAATAACACTCTATCCCATAAGCCCCAGGCATTTTTCAAACTGCTGCTTTTATGCTGCACCTCCAAGGGCTGTTCCTCTGCTATCCCTTTAAGGGCAGAGACTCTGCTTCCTATCGCCCTCTAGGCTGTCCCAGAACCGAGCCTGCTGATTTTTAAAATTCCAGGCTTTAAGTCCCACTGGTTGTAAGAACTCATGAAATTTGGTGCTTCTAGTTTTCAAGCCAAATGTCTTCCCTGTGGGGGCTCCCCAGTGTCAGGGTCCTTTTCTCTCCTCTCTGTGCCTGCGAGCTCCTTCCCTCCCACAGATGGCCTGTGGTCTGTTTAGCTCCCCACCATGTCTCCGCCCTTTCTCTCCTCTTAGATATGCCTCTTTACCTTTAGTTGTAAAGTTTGTTTTGCCAGTTTTCAAGTCCTTTTCTGGATTATTTACACTGATGTGGGTATTATCTAGTTGTATCTGTGGGACAAGGTGAGCTTGGGTCCTCCTATTCTGTCAACTTCCCAGCCTCTCTGGAATTAGTTAATATTTTAGAGATTGTCTTTTATTATAACTGTTTGAATAACCAGTTATAAACAGATCCCTGATTACCATTCATTGGTGGTTCCTCTGAACTTAAACTCATTTACTATTTTGTGTTGAGATGTGTGTGTATATCTTGCCTAGGTGAATTGACTAGAATTTACAAAATAGTGCTATACAAAGACAGATAGTAGGTACACATGAAGACCTTATGTACTAAATTAATACTTTATGTGCCAGATAATACTTGGCCAAAGTATGACAAACAAAATCTATAAGAAATTTTATAAAATGAAAGGAAAACTATATGTCAAACAGACCAAGTTTCTGATATCAGCTCCACCATTCCCAGATTTTGTGACTTTGAAGTTACTTAACTTCTCAATGCCTCAGATTCCTTGTCTAAAAATTGAAAGTAATGATAGTACTTAACTCTTAGTATTGCCATGAAGATGTATTGAGATAATGCGTGCAGGGCAAGTAAAATACCTAGTGCCTGGTGTTAAAGTCCTCAGTATCAGTGCTTCTTAACCTATTTTAATTCTCCTTTGGGAATCTGATGAAACTTTTGGACTACCCCTCCCCACAAAATACAGACACATAGAAACAAAAGTTGGTATATTATTTTATAGGGTTCATGAAAAGGCAGACCCTAGATTAGAATCCTCTGTTTCATATTTTTAGCTTTTTTTTTTTTTTTTGGTCTACCTAAATGTGTTAAAAATCCCCCAGATAATAATTTTCCTTTAATTTTTAAAAAAATTTATTATAGCTTTTTGTACTTTGGCCAAGTATTATTTGGTACATAAAGTTTTACACAAGCTATATCTTCATATATACTTGTAAAATTTAAGTATATAAATCAGTTTTGTTTCTATTAAACACAACAATAGCTTACTTCTTTTTTTGACTACTGTAGGCTCTTTTTTTTTTAAGATTTTATTTATTTATTTGACAGAGAGAGACACAGCAAGAGAGGGAACACAAAGCAGAGGGAGTGGGAAAGGGAGAAGCAGGCTTCCTGACGAGCAGGGAGCCCGATGCGGGGCTCAATCCCAGGACCCTGGGATCATGACTTAAGCCAAAGGCAAACGCTTAACAACTGAGCCACCCAGGTGCCCCACTACTGTAGGCTTTCTTAATATTTAGTTTCTGCTTCCTCTTTTGTTTTTTAAATCTTTATTAAATTTGCCAGCAAAGATCATTATACTTATTATTCCCCCCTTTCTCATTTTATACTTGTCCACTTTGCCTATGCCCTTTATTTTTTGGATTACATTTTTAGTAGCTTTAAAATTTTGTTACATGCTTAGTTTGTCATTTTTCTCTCATTTTATTTTTTTATTTTAAAAAGATTTTATTTATTTATTTGAGAGAAAGTGAATGAGAGGGAGGGAGAGAGAATCTGAAGCAGACTCTGCATTGAGCACCAAGCCCAATGCAGGCTTCCATCCCACAACCTCAAGATCCTGACCTGAGCCAAAACTAAGAGTGGGACGCTTAACCAACTGAGCCACCCAGTTGCCCCTTATTTTAAATGAGAAAAATTCTAATAGTATTCTAGTATTTTTAAGTACTTTGAATTTTCTCATTTTTAAAATAGATTTCTCACTGTGATTTGAGAATCAAATGTATATCCTTTTATATTTTGAAACTTTTTACAGCTTGTAAAAAGCCTTTTACAACTATGATAAATATTTGTCAGCACTCCATGATTATTGAAAAAGATAATCCTTGATACCTCATTTAATATAATTTATTTATACCTCCTTATTAATTTTATTTTTTTCCTTATTAATTTTAGTAAAGATCTCTTTTGCAGAATTTTTAATTTTTACCTACCATATGCTGATAATTGAATGCTTAATCTTCTATGACTGTGTTTGTTTTTCCTTGTATCTTTAATAATTTCTATTTCTCCTTGTATTTTTAATAATTCAATACCTTGTACCTTTTAATAATTATTTTTAATAATTTAACTTTTTTCTATGTGTTATTAACTATTCCTTCTATTATTTCAAATGATAGTATATATCTCTCTTAATATTCTTTGGTTTGAACTAAACATTTTATCATATTAAAATGTCCCTCCTGATTTATTTGTGATCATGTTTAATATAATTTCCCCATGTTTTTATTAGGACGCATCTACTTTGTTTTATTCAATTGTGATTCTTCAAATTATACTTGCAAAAATAGGTATTGCCTTTTGCTTACTGTAGCATACAGTAATTTAGTGAGGAATGCTTAGTCTTCCTTCTCAAGTTCCTTTCTATATCACCTGGTTGTGCACCCTGGAATATAAAAAAAGCATTTACACTGAAATTCTTAATTCTAAGATGTCACTTATTGTAAAATACACTGTAATTTAATAACTACTCTTTTGAAAGCAAGTTATATGTGGATCCAAAAAAGTATCCTTAACGGCAATTGTCCACGTTGACCCATAGATTTGCATGTGTTTTTCTTTAGTATCACTGGTGTCTCCCACTCAACCTTCCTCACATTTAAAATTTGAAGATCTAGGGGCGCCTGGGTGGCTCAGTGGTTAAGCATCTGCTTTCGGTTCAGGTCATGATCTCAGTGTCCTGGGATCGAGCCCCACATCGGGGTCCCTGCTCCGCGGGAAGCCTGCTTCTCCCTCTCCCGCTCCCCCTGCTTGTGTTCCCTCTCTCGCTGTATCTCTGTCAAATAAATAAATAAATAAGATCTTTAAAAATAAATAAATAAATAAATAAATAAATAAATAAATAAATAAATAAATAAAATAATAACAAAATTTGAAGATCTGTTGCCCATTAGCAGTTATGCATGGCCTTAGAGGATCATGCTATTTTTCTAATCTTTATTCATGACTTGGAGCATTTTAGCGTTTTTAGGACTAGCAGTATGATTTCAAAGTACATTGAAAGAAACTATTTTCTATTTCATCAAAATCTTAATTTTGCATTTTCCTAAGCCAAGTTATTTATCCCTAAAAGTTAAATACCTTCCCCTGAAAATTCTACTGGAAACTCTTGACAGATAGCTGTTCAGAGTCTAGTAATTCATTAAAGCCATGAATAAGCCAGATTAATCTTCCCTAGATTTGAAAATTATCTAATGTATTCTAAGAGAGTCCATTTCAAACAGTGGGTATTAGACACTCTGATTTTCCTGTCCAGTAGAGAAAAGATATTCTGAGTCTAGCATAAAATTTCTTACCTTACCATCTATATCACCATTTTTTCAGAAAATAAGAAAATATTTTCATCTAAAAAAAAATGAAGAAGGACTGTTATCTACATCACACATATCTAAGGAATAATAACTATGTCATAACTTATCTTTCCAACTGCTGATGGGCAGGTTTCTTTTGCCAAGAATTGGAGGATGCATCCCAATAATTTCAGAAATATTAAAATGTAAGAAGCACAGTGTCACAGTTTAGAGAAAATGTGGCAGTAATATAGTTCAACTAAAGCTCAGCATGGCTTTGTGGGCTTTCTTGGAAATGTAACCACTTTTTACATTATTATGTTTATGGAGAAATATATTCTGGTTTCTAAATAACTGATTACAGATGATTTTGAAAAAGAAACTCATTCCTGTATATTTAAAGCACCATTGTCATTTTTATGAGAATATTTAAAACCCACATGTTATATAAAGCTGAGAGCTGGGCCTCATTTTATAGTAAATTCTCTCTTGCACAAGAAAAAGCCACTAAACTTAAGTTACATTTGTTCTCTCCTCTATTTAATAATTACACCTTTTTCTTACCAGCTTTTTAGATCCCTTACTGCAGTTTGAAACCCAACTGAAGATAATAGAGTCCTCCTTTAAAATTGTATTTGCTATACCAACTCTTGAGAAAGTGAAGGAAATGGGAAACAGTAAAGATGACCCAGAGGACCTGGAAGTGAGTCTTTGTTTCCTTTAATTATTATGAGATATTATTATGCGCCACAACAGTTCTGCAGAATGCCCTTCCACGGGTCATAATCCTTGTTGTTATCTCATTCACCCTTTTTAGATACAATAGATTAACAACAGTATATTCCAGCATTAATCTATACCCCCTGGACTCATTGTGAATTCTACAAGTCATGGGATTTAATGGATTGTATAGGAGTTATAGGAACAAATGAGTGAAGAGATTTTTGGTTAATTGTTTTAGCAAGGACAAGAGTTTATGGGCAAATGCTGTAAGAAAGGAAATAAGAGCAGAGAAAGGTGGAGAGAGGAATATCCCTACAGTAAGGTGAGCAACATCTCTGCTATTTCCTCAGCACAGCTACCCAGTGCACCTGCCCTATAAGGTGGAGGTGCAATTCATGGCACAGGGTACTGAGAGAGGTCTCATCTCTAGAGCTGCCTCTCTCCTTTCTTACCTTCAGATTATGGGGAGAACGCAGGGCCCCAGGACACAAAACCATAGACACTGAGTAAAATTACATCTAATTTTATCTGGCTGGCTGGTTGTGTAACTTTTTTTGTTTTTCAGAATTTATATCAAAACATTTTAAACATATTTGAGGACACTCTTCTGATCTTAGTGTCTAGAGACCTCTATAAACTGCAAATCTTAAAGGTAAAGTAAAGGGAAAATAAGCATTTTTGTTTTCTTGTCTTAAATCTAAAGAGCTCACTATATTTCAGTTATTATTTCCCTTTTCCCATACTATGTCTTCTTCAAGTATTTGGTGGCTGATTTTTTTCTTTTCCTCCCAAGCCATATAATTATCCCCAAAATGAAATCATTTCCCTTTCTTTGAATTACAGAGACATAATTTTAAGAATTCAATTTTGGGAAGATGGCATCAATAAAACACTTAAGAAGCCAAATGTTATGTGGCAGTGTAAGAGTGAATACAATATAGGTTAGCAGAAAAGAGAGGGTGATTGGCTTGAACTACCTGCAGATCCATGGAACAATACTTTGATGGTGTCTATATGCTTGCTTCCTCCTCAACAACTCTGGAGCTAAAGTGTCCTATCTTCATGGATACCATGGTATCAGAGGAAAGCCTAACAACTGTCCAAATCCCCACTTACATCCAGACCTCACTGTGTTTTTAACATCCCAGGCAGAGATAGGAGACTGCTCAGGATGTCTTATGATCACTGGGGGCACCTGTCTGGAAATACTGGGAAACCAGAATGACTTACTCTACCAGTGTCATTATGAGTTTGTGCAAATCATAAAATACATTCAAGTAAAGAAGCAGAATTAGTATCTCTGAAGACAAGAAGGAATGTGAGGGAAAATAAAATATACAGAGTTAATTTGTGCCTAATTTGAGTCAAATATTTTCTGTCCATTTTAAAAACTTAACCTCACAACCCTTTAAAGTAGTTATTATTATCCCATTATTACAACCATCTCCCTATGCATGCTCTTTCAGCCAATAAACCACTGTTTTTTTGAGTATTTACTCTACATCAGGCACTAAACGGAATGCTTCATACATAGGTTATCTCATTTAATCCTTAAAATAACCCTCTGATGGTTATTTCCCCCCATTTTGCTGATAAGAAAATGGAAGCAAAGAGAGGAGCAATAATATGTGTAATGCTAACAAATGGGGAAGCTACTCTAACTTGGAAACCTGTTACTTAACCATGTTGTTCTTAAACCTTCCATGTCTAGAAACTCACTTGATTCTCAAAAAGAGCTAAAAGCCCACTCCTGGAAAAGGCACAGGCTGACACCACCCCCCACCCCACCCGGGATTTAGAGACTCTTCTGCCCTAGGAAATGGATTTCAGAACAGTTTTATACAATGGGAGCAAGTGAAAAGGAGGAGATTTAGCATAAATACTGTGAACTCCAACAGAGTGCCTTAAGAAATCTGTTAGTGGTGATTGGTATGTGAGGCATATGCAGTCTTCTTCCCTTCCCAAGCTTGTAAATATGTCCTTACATCTGAAGATTTAGAACAAATAGAAGTTACAGCAAGATGGAGTTGAATCAAAATTAACAAGAACTTTCTAACTGAGCTGCCTCCGGGAATATTCTCTGCAACTATGAGCCAGAAAATATCTGAGTGCTGAATCTGCAGAGGAAATTCTGGAGTAAGATGACACTTCAGGATCAGATGACATTTCAATTCTTTTTTAACGCTGAAAATCAGATCCTGTGATGAGAGAGAGAGGGAGAGAGAGGATATGTACTTTGAAAGAAAAAAAGGAGAAGCAACTAACAATCCCATGATAGCCTCCTGTTAAACTTTTTGTGATGACTGACAAAGTGACTTATAATGCACATCATTAGTACATATTCATTGTATAAAATTAAATAACATACAACCTAAGTGTAGTTACTACAGTAGATGAAGTAGTATAGTAGATAGCTTGTAGTATACAACTAGCTTTGTTGTCATCTTTTTGAGATAAATGTAGGTTAGATGTGAAATAATCAGGAGTCCATGGGGACCCTTGACTTGGTGAAGTTGGAGGGGACTTGTAGAAATGGAAACACCATGCTCTAGGATAATTCTTATGTTTTCCACAGGACATGGCTGTGTGGATGAATGAAGATAGTTCGTACCTGCAGGAGAGAATTATAGTGATCATCAGCAGTGTGCTAAGCTTTGCATCCAGGAAAGCCAGGGGATATGTAAGTCACAGAATACAATCATGCCACCTGCTTCTGAAGACTGCATTTCTATAATGCTGCTTTCCAAGTCTTGGCTCTTGAAAACTCTAAGTGCCTGCTTGGTATGAGCATGCTGGCAGGCTGGGATATTAAGAAAAGAGTCAATATAATACATGATTTTATGTCAATCAGAACAGTCTCTCAACCAATTGATTAAGACCTTTTATGCTTTCCACAAACAGAATGAATGTGTCAAAATTTCTGCTGACTCTCTGGATCACAATCAATGTTATTTGCAACCTTATTAATCCTTCCATCTCTACTTTCCTTCTTATTTCTCCTTTTCTTAAAATATTTTTAAAACCATTATATATGTATTTGAAATTTACACAAGTAATTCCTGAGTCTTTTCATTGTAAAACATGCTAGAGATAGAGCAGAAGTCTTCTTTACTATCCTCTCCATCCTAATCTCCTCCCTAGCATGCTGCTGTGATATGGATCCTGCCAGACAGCCTTCCGTGTACACACCCACATAGACATGCACACACTGAGATGCGTAGTTTTTTACTTAGCGCTTCTTTATTAAAATCACATTATATTTACACATGATTCTGCAATTTGATTTTTTCACTGAACAGTATGTTCCTCAGATATTTTCATAGCAATATATGTAGAGTTATCTCATTCTTTTATCCAAAACATATATCCCATAGTTTTAATGTATTGTAATCTACTTATAGATGGACATCCAAGTATATTTAGTTTTTTTTTTCTAGTTCAACAATATACAAATAGTCATCTTTGTTCAAGTACATATGTACTTAGAAATACTTACAAAGATAATAGATCAAAGAGTAGGAATAGTTTATACTTTTAACACTACAAAATTATCTCCAGTTTGTATTCCTGTGGATATTAGAGTGCTTGTTTCCCTACACCTCCCACCAACACTGGGAAGTTATTGGACTTTCTAATTGTTGCCTTTCAGATGGAGAACAAATTGGCATCTCATAATTGCCAGTATTTGCTGAGGTTTTCTATATTTTTAATAACATTATTGTCTTCCTTCTAAGAAACCTTACTATCTATGAACATTTCTCTCTCTTATGGATACTGTGTATCCAGCCTCCGTTTTGCAACTCATCCTTAACTGTGATTTTTAAACATACACTTCTAATTGCTTATCTGATTGTTTGAATCATTTCAGGAGTTCAGAATAAAGGGGATCAGAAACATACATTCACGATATCATTTTCACGTACCCATTTTCTACTACTTAATTAAATAGCTTCCAGACAGATTGAGACAAAAAGCCTAGATAAACCTTAGAACATATCTGAATTCTTACTATTTTGTTTAAAATCAGCTTTGGTGGAGTGCCTGGATGGCTCAGTCAGTTAAGCATCTGCCTTCGGCTCAGGTCGTGATCTCAGGGTCCTGTGAGCTTGCTTCTCCCTCTCCCTGCTCGTGCTCATGCTCTCTCACTATCTGTCTCTCAAATAAATAAAATCTTAAAATCAGCTTTGGGATGTAATATAATTTACTTACATGAGGAAAGGTAGTTCATAATGTTCTTTGCATCATGTTGAGTCTATTTCAAAAGAGAGATAGAGCAGTTTGTTTTAATCTTCTGGTTCTCTGGTTCTCTAAACTGGGTGGCTATCCATTCAAATGTTTGAAAGGCTAATCATACAAAATTTCTAGCAAGGCTTGAGATTAAGTGTAGTTCACAACTCCGGCCTATTTTCTGCACAGTTCATAAATGTTTCATGCACTCAGCAAGTATTTGATGGTGACTGTCTGACCAAGTTCTATTCACATGCTTTTATCTGCTTTTGCATTTTCATTCAGTATACATATATCCATTCATTCATTCTAGTGAGTTCCACTCAGGTAACAGGTAAGACATTTTGGAGTTTTGTCATCTTCTATCACCTCTTCTCAGTTCATCCTCCCCTACACATAGGCCACCCCTCAACTGTGAAAAAATAAATGTGCAATTCCACTTCTGTGGCAGAAGGCTCTCATAAAATGAGGGTTCCTACCATAACTGAGATTTGTTTGAGAAGCCAAGTAGGATAACCTATTATTTTGTTCTGCAATGTTCACTGAGTGCCACCAGGTGGAAGCACACTAGCATTTTCCAGAACATGGAAGCTAAGCTAGCATCAACCAGTTCATCAAAGTCAAGGAGGCTTAAAACTTTAAACTTTCTCTTTATGATAATGTCCTCTAAAGATAGTTAAGTCCATGAAATTAATGGAGAAGAGAGGACAAATATATGAAATAAAACAGCTGAATGTATTATTAAATTAAAAACTAAGCTCCCCACAGCCCTCATCTGTGTATCTCTATGTCTGACATATTGAAGATAATCAGTGAAGATTTGTTTTGCCCTTCTCTAATTATATGTAACTATCCATTCTGTTCTCAGGTGCTGTCCATTCACTGGAAAGACCTTTTTTTTTTTTTTTTTTTCATAAATTACCCTAGCCTTGTCTTCCAGGGTCTCAGAGGCCCTTGTCCTATTGAACAATCCTGACTACCATTTGTATTCTATCAAAAATACTTTTTAATGTAGTAATTCTCCTTATATGACCTATGTGCTATCATGGTGAAAAAAACTTCTACAATCAAAGAATATTTGTCCCTTCAATTAAACTATTCAATTTTCAAACAGGCAAGGAAATGTAAGCTAAACATGTCATCTTATATCATTAACAGAAAGATTTTCTCTGGGTTTGTTCCTTTGGCACATCAGCATTTGAAAGATGGGTGGAATTTAAGGAGGACAATGGCAGTGGAGTAGGAGGACCCTAGGCTCACTTTGTCTCATGAATACAAGTAGATAATTAACAAATTATCCTAAGTATCCCAGAAATCAACCTGAAGACTGGCAGAACAACTAAAGGTAGAGAAGAGTCCAAACCAAAGATGGTAGGAAGTGTGGACACACAGTTTGGGAGAGAAACGAATCATGAATGCTGTGGTGGGGAGGGAGCCACAGTTGAGGAGAAGGACAAGAGATAGACTAGCACAGAGGGAAGCACACAGGGAAGATGATTTCCCCATAGCAATTGGCTTGGAAAGCAAGAGAGGCCAAATTTCGTAAGTTCTTGCAACCACTGGGGCTTAAAGCCTAGAGTTTTAAAGGTCAGCAGGCTTGGCTCTGGGAGAGCCACATGGTGCTGCTAGTAGAGAGAAGGCAGAACAAACAGCCTGTGGACATACAGTGTGGAAACAGTGATATGAAGAACACTCAGGGCACACAGTGAACTTATTTGTTCTTCTCTGAGTGTGTCCCAGGGAGGCAGCATTCATGGAGAGACTCCTCCAAGAACAAAGGAACTCCCTTTCCCTCAGAATTAATCCAGAGCCATGTGCAGGAACCAGCACAGCACCAATACTAGCTTCCTAACTTTCTTACACCGAGCCCTGACACCCCATGCTCCAGTAGAACCACCCTTCCCAATCACACTTGCCTCAGTTCCAGCCCAGCAGGCCCCCTTTCCCAGGAGAATGGCCCAAATCCTTGCCCACACTGAATCTCCTGACCTGGGAGTTTTGCAGGGTTCCAGTTCTGGTAGTGGTGGAGACAGGTCTCATCTCACAAGCAGACTGGAGCACACCTAGTTAAAACTTGCCACATTCAGGCCTGGAACCAAGCACTGACCACAATAGGCAAAGAGAGCCTCTGCAGACAACTGGCTTGAAGGATAAAGTGGCCAGGACACAACAGCAGAGTGCACACAGCACACACTGGAGATACTCCCTGAAGCAACAAGCCCTGGGGAAGAGGGGACACTATACTGCAGGACACTATAGGACTTATTCTTCATAAGGCCAATATCTTCAAGAACAAGAGATGTAGCTGACTATTCTAACACAAAGAAGTAGGTACAGAGACTTAAACAAAATAAAAAGACAGAGGAATTAATTCCAAATAAAAGAACAGGACAAGCCCACAGCCAGATCTAAGTGAAAAACATAAATAACATTCTGGATAGAGAATTTTAAGTAATGATCATAAAGATACTTGCTGGACTTGAGAAGAGAGTGGAAGTCATCAGTAAGACCATTAACACAGAGATAAAGAATTGCGTGTCATAGATAAAGGGCTCAATAAATGAAATCAGAAACAGGACTGATGGAATGAATGAACAGCAGGCTGGGAGAAGCAGAGGAACAAATCAATGACCTAGAAGACAGAGTAATAGAAAGTAATCAAGCTGAACAGAGAGAAAAAAGAATTATGCAAAACAAGAATAGACAGGGAATTCAGTGATTCCATCAAACATAACATTCATATTGTAGGAGTCCCATAAGTGGAAGAAAAAAGAAAAAAGCAAGGAGAAATTTTATTTGAAAAAATAATAGCTGAAAAGTTTTGGGGAAAGAAACAGACATCCAGATCCAGGAGGCACAGAGATTCCCCCAAAAAAATCAACAAAAGCAGACTTGCACCAAGACATATTATAATTAAAATGGTAAAATATACTGATAAAGAAAAAAATTTAAAGCAGCAAGACAAAAAACATCAGTCAGTTACAAGGGAAAACCCATGAGGCTGGCAGGAGATTTTTCAACATTAACTTGGCAGGCCAGAAGAAAGTGGCATGATATATTCAAAGTGCTGAATGGGATATATGTGCAACCAAGAATACTCTATCCAGCAAGACTGTTATTCAGAAAACAAGAGATAAAGAGTTTCCGACAAACAAAAACTGAAGGGGTTCATGACCACTAAACCAGCCCTACAAGAAATACTATAGGGGACTCTGTGAGTGGAAAGCAAAGACCAAAATCGACAGTATAAAGATAGGAAACACAACAGCAGTAAAAATGAATATTTCTGTAAAAAAAAATCAGTCAAGGAACTCACAAAATAAAAAGATGTAAAATATGACAACGTATAACTGAAATATGGGGAGGAGAGAAGAGAATGCATTCAAATTTAAGTGACCATAAACTTAATATAGACTGCTATATACAGAAGAGGTTATATACAAACCGAATGGT